AGCACGTGAACCGTCATTTTTAGCCTTTTTTAGTAATTTTAGAGCTTTGTTAACCATTAATCTTAGATTCCTCTCTTGTAATTACTTTCTATGGGTTATATTTCATCTAAATCTTTAGTTTCTTCTTTGATTATGAGTAGCTAAACCCATTGGCTAGAGTTGTGGCTCAACCCTAGTATGGGTATTTAATGGGTCTTCAATTTTAGGGCTTGAATGTTTATAGGTGAATGATATTTGGCTTGATTTATGCTTTAAATATTGAATTAGTGGTTGCAAATACTGATTTATGTCTTTTTGACGAGAAAGAGAGACTAAGTCTAGGAATTTCAGGCCAACAAGGAATTGGGGTGCATTCAAGAGATTGATAGCCCCAATTAAAGGGTTAAACCTAGAAATAGTAATACCCAACTTGAGCCAATTTTGCTTGCATTGTTTAAACACCCAATTGGGCTTGAGAAAGCCAATTAGGGCAAAGTCACTCAAACTACCGAGAGGTATAGAGTGAGTAATTATGTGCAATGGCTATATCATGATCCCAACTATAACAAATTTGCCCTAAATTTTATATCCCATTAAATACCCACCTAGGTGCAAGTCACTTCCCTAGTGCCTTAGACCAATTAAGAAAACCCTAAAAAAAACATCATACCTAGCTTATTTTCTTGTATCATTAGTATTAAAGTACAATAGCAAACAAACAAAGAATGATTGAAAGTGCAATTAAGAACATCACACACTGCTAGATTAGATAGGAATCTAATTCCAAACATAACTTAGATCACTGTGGATTCGATCCCGACCTTTGGGGTAAAAGCTGCATCGACCGCTCTTGCGACTCTATAGTGGTGTAGGGTTGGCTTCGATCATCATCTACTATAACCGTTTGATAATATCAAGACTAGCATAGTCTTGAAATAACTGAATACAACTAAGGAAAGATAAAGAGAGAGGAAAGCAGGATTGCGATCGTCAGGCAGCTACCTTGCTTACTCCGATGGATCTATAACTGAATAATCAACACCTGCTACCGTGTCCAGAGAGGCCTAGGTCTGTACACAAGATGCATGGAGTAACGTGAGTACGCCGACTTAGTAAGTAACAACAATAAATAAAGGTTGAGAAGTAGTGACGAGCAATAATGCAAGTATAGTTCATATCATAGAAACTTTGTAAGATACAACCGGCTTTAAAATCAGAGTTTGAATCAAATCAGCTTGTTTAAATCCAGTTCCACTAAAATCATTTAAAAACATCTTTCAATAGTTTTCAAACAAAAATTTAACGCAAAAGTGAGCAAAATGATGAAATCATGAATAGCCCCCCCCGGAAAACATCACTCGTATACAGCCCCTCGGGCAAACATCACTCATATATAGCCCCTCGGGCAAACCTCACCATCGCTCATATATAGTCCCTCGGGCAAACATCATTTATATACAGCCCCTCGGGCAAACCTCACCATCACTCATATACAGCCTCTCAGGAAAACTTCACCATCACTCATATACAGTCCCTCGGTCAAACCTCACCATCACTCATGCCTTCCACTCACTCAGCACTCGGCACTCGCACTCAGTAGGTACATGCGCTCACTGGGGGTGTGCAGACTCCGGATTGGCTCCTTCAGCCCAAGCTCTATAACAAGTCAATCATGGCATAAATCAATCAGGCCTTCAGTCTCACTCAGTCACGAATCAGTAAAATATGTTGCGGCATGCAGCCCGATCCCATAAATATCCTCACAAATCAGGCCCTTGGCCTCACTCAGTCATAAACCTCTTCAGCCTCTCGGGCTCTCAGAATGACAAAGTTTTTAGCGCAAACAACGTTTATAGGATGCATCAAAAGTAGAGTAGTAGAGACTGAGTTATGAAATAATGAGTATAAACAAGACTGAGTATAGATTTCCAATCGAAAACAATGAGAGGATAGCAATAAAAGACCTTTAAGGGTCCAAACAACACTGGCATAAGGCCTAAACATGGCATCAAGCCTGATTTACTGAAATTCATTCTAAAACAAGTGAGAAGCATGTAGCTTCAACAAAATATCCAACTTTACAGTTAATACGAGACAGAACAAGTCATAATCTCCAACGGTGAACGCTCACACGCCCGTCACCTAGCATAAGCATCACCTCAAAATAGTCACATGACATAAAATCCGGGGTTTCATACCCTCAGGACTAGATTTACAATCGTTACTTACCTCAAACCGATCAAGTCTCAATTCTGCGACGCTCTTGCCCCTCGACTCAGCCTCCAAATGCTCCAAATCTATTCACAACAAGTACAATACCATCAATATACGCTAATGGAATGAATTCCACATGAAAACTGTCAAATTAGACCCAAATCCCGGAATTCACTCAAACCTGGCCCCGGGACCACGTCTCGAAATCCAACAAAAATTACAAAACTAGAAAGCACATTCATTCACGAGTCTACCCATACCAATTTCATCAAAATCCGACCTCATTTGGTCGCTCAAATCCCCAAATTACTTTCTCAAAAACTCTTCCATTTTTCCCCCAATTTTTCACCATAATTCCCAATTTAGATGATATAAATCAAGATACAATCATGGAATTTAACCAAAATCAAGTGAGGAACACTTACCCCAATCAACTCCCAAAAAATGCCTTCAAAAATTGCCCAAATCCGTGGTCTCTAACTCAAAATATGAAAAGTGGGCTCAAACCCTCGATTTTGAATATAACACTGTCTGCCTAGATTTTCCTCTTCGCGAACGTGGTAGTGCCCTCTCGTTCGCAAAGCACAACGGCCTCAGCCCGGGAAATCCTTCTATGCGAATGTGATACCCCACTCGCAAACGCGTACCTTAACTAGCTCAACACATCACGAACGTGAAGCCCTCCTCACGAACGCGTAGACCAACGGCTTGGGGTCCCCAACTGCCTCCACTTCTCTTAGCGAACGCGACTCCTCATACGCGTCCGCGATGCATACTCAGATCAAACATTCGTGTTCGCGGCCTCCCCTTCGCGAACGCGAAGAACAAAAATCCCTCAGCTCAATATAACCCTTCGCGAACGCGATAGCCTTCTCGTGAACGTGGTGAAGGAATTCTCTGCAACAAAATACCAGAAATCTACTAACTTCTAAAGCCAAATAATGATCCATTGACCACCCGAAACTCACCCAAAGCCCTTGGGACCTCAAGCAAACATACCAATACATCCTATAATATCATTCAAACTTAGTCGAACTTTCGAATCACTCAAAACAACATCAAAACACTAAATTACCCCTAGATTCAAGCGTAAGAACTTCTAAACTTTCAAATTCCACAAACGACGTCGAACCCTATCAAATCACGTCCGAATGACCTCAAATTTTACACACAAGTCAAAAATGACACCACGAACCTACTCCAATTTCTAAAATTCTATTCCGACCCCGATATCAAAATTTCCACTGTCGGCCAAAATCGTCAAAATTCCAACTTTCGCCAATTCATGCCAAATTCTACAACATAGCTCCAAATTACATTCTGAATACGCTCCTAAGTCCAAAATCACCTAACGGGCCTATCAAAATTCAAATCCAAGGTCAAATACTAAAAGTCAAAACTTGGTCCAACCTTCCAAATTTAAAGCTTTCTAGCTGAGAATCATTCTTCCAATTTGAATTCCGAATAACCTAAAAATCAAAACTGATGATCCACATAATTCATAATACTTCATACGGAGCTACTTATGCCCTAAAACAACCGAGCGAAGTGTAAATATCCAAAACGACCGGTCGGGTCGTTACATCCCCATATTACCATTGCATCACATAAGTCACAATAAGTTATCGTACATTTTTTAACGAAAATTTTTGATTGAAGTCTACTTAATTCGAAGCATCACAATGATGTATAGGCTCCAACCTGGAAACAAAAGTTCCCAAAACCAACTTGGAAACACATTGCCTTGCATAGTAAGGTACTTTTAGAAACTAAAAAACAAAAATTGTAACTTGCACCGGAAAATGAATTGAAGACATTTGCACAATACTCTATAAGCTACAACCTATAGAGTTCTGCAAATTTGCAAAAGAGATGGTGATGCTGAATAGATCATCTGCCAGATTAATCTAAGAAGTTGCTTCCCTCAATCAAATACACCAATTATTTAAAGTCTGCAGTAGAATCACAATCCAATACTTTATTTCTCTATGCTTGAGCGCACGATGGAAAGGGATGGCTACAGTGCATATGGAAGTGAACCAGCCTCTCCAGACTCTTTGTAAGATAAGGCCCTCCTAAAGCAAAAAATTATCACATTTGACAATGCCTAAATTGCTTCATATTTGTGAAGTCTGAGTCTTCTCCTGAAGATGACACTCTAATCCTCCATATTATCTAGAACATCATATGCAGTTTTACATATAACCTGGCTACCATTAAGCATATTACATCGGAAATCTAATTCCACGCTTAATACATTAAGCTAAATTGTAGGAACCTGCTGGTTGCTCTTAGAACTATTGTAGAAGGGAATAGGTTGGCATTATCTCGATGCAATTCAAATGACTACTATGTAATCTGTCATTATAAAGTTGAATGCAGGTCAGTTGCTATGATTACTACGAAATCATATAGAGATAGGGCGAAGTTAAAATCCGAAGAGTTGTATCATATGAAAAGAGTTAAAAAAGAATTAGTGAATAAATAAGAGAGCCAAATTTTGGGTTGGCCTGAAAAATCTAATGCAGAAGGAGCCTTGGAGGGATTAAATTATAAGTATGTCCAAGTATTAAAATAGTAACAATCACGTTATACGGCCGTTCTTGACAAATAGAGCAGAATTTAAGAACTTTCAAGCCCCAGTTCACATTCACATTAGCATCCAAAGATTAAACTTTCATGTCGTAGATTATGAGAGCAACAATAAAAGATTTCTCAATTTTATCATTCAATTCTTACGAAAATAGTTGCGCTAAGAACTTTGAAAATCTTGGTTTAAGACAATTAGTAATTAGATGCACATAATAACCCAAGAAACATAACTATTACTTTACTTTATTAAAAAATTACACAAAGAAACATAAATGAGCAGTACAACTTCACGGCTTACCTTTTTTTTTTTTAAATATGAAATGGATGGACCGCATCTTTTCCTTTGCCAAGAACTCCAATGAGGGGAAAAACTTGACCTTGCATTTGATATCTTGTTGACATGATTTTTGTTTGCAAGAAGACGATCACTGTTTCCTCTCAATTTTTGAGGCATCATTACAACAACAGTACTTTTTTCTCGGTCATTGTTATATGACCATAGATTTTGGCATCCTTATCATGAGCTTCCTTAACCAAATGAGAATATTTTTTATTTGTGGGGAATCCATCTATATAATAATATTTTTCGCAAGTGAATAGTATAATCATCATATCAATATTATAATTATTCTATTTCATTTGACCAAAAGAAATATGCATAAAGGCACGCTCAGTTAAGCACCAAAATATAACAGGGTTAATCATTTTTCGTATCATGTGTTATAACTTAAGGAAATAAGAAAGTTAACACTTAACACAGACAAATAGAAGAAACATAAAAAATATACTTTGACACTTAATTGAATGGGAAATTGGTTCAACTCTAGATGGACAACAGATAGATACATTTGATCAAGGAAAATATGTAGAACGACACATTACCTCGAGCACGCAGATTCAAGATGTCGCACATGATCAGGAGATGGCTGTTGTTAACATGTCGATTAGCTTCTCCTCTCCTCTTTCTTTACCCATTTTTGTTTGTCTAAAAGGTCTTATTACTCTGGCACTGAAGTAGTAAAAGCACAAATATTCCATTGCTACTTTTACAGAATACTATTGTATTTTTTAAAAGGGTGGTATAAAGTAGTAGATTATGAGTATTTCCTAACATGACCAATAACCCAGTAAAAGGGGAAAAGGGGAAGAGGTCAGTATTGGTGAGTACGGACATACATGACCTCAATGGTTAACTAATCTTAAGTTGTGTGTTCAATAATTCCAGTTGTTCCAATTTTGTTTGAAACAGTAGAAAAGGAGTTACTTTACTAAACCAAGTATGGGATAAAACATCCTCTCCTCCCTATATCATATTCATAGTCCTCTAGCCTTCACAGAATTTCAAAGTAAAATGAAAAAAAGACATCGAGGTAGATTAATGCATGCAATCATTTTGGTGTCATTAAAATTCTCGAAGTCCTTAACATACCCATTATTTACATAAATTCAGAAAATTTAAGACAATCAAAGGTGACTCCAACCCACAACTCAGTATCAGGCCATGCAAGCTTCCACATCAAAGTTTCTGATTAGCGGTCTAAAAGCTCTAAGACTGCTTTATTCCACCTCCTCCCCCCTCCCCCGGGAAAAGTTAGTCTGCCCATTTACTTGGTCCGAACAGTTGAGAAGAGGAAGTGACAAAATAGGAAATGGGAAATAATAGCCATCAATACTATCGACAAGCTACCCTAAAACTATTGAACTAAGTACCACTTCGAAAACTCAAACAAAAAAAATAACAAAAGAGCGAAAGAATGGGAATAAGAATGTTCCATAAGAATCAAAAAATGTTACCTTGCCCAGAACTGAAGCTTCAACATAGGAGGAGTATTTCTCTGCCCACTAATCGATCTTACTACGAATGCTACAAGCATGAGTAATTCGTTACTTGCAAAACAAAGTAAATGCAGGACAAAGCTAATTTTTCTTCTCCTAACATTAGGATTTATAAAGGGAGAAGCGAGTGGGAGAAGCGAAGAGACGTTCGAAGAAGAAAAACTTGGTGTTTAAAACTTCAAGATTGGTTTAGTAAGTGCGAAAGAATTTTCGAGAATGTGGCAGTTCAAAATAGATCATATAGCAAATGTGGTGTTCAGATTAGAAGACATGTAACCTAACGTAAATGAAATATCTATACTACCCTTGTTTTGCATTTTAATACCAAGAAACACACAGGTCGAAATTCTAGCTCTTCTATAATATAGAAAAGTAAATGTTATTATTATTATTTATATATAGTAGACAGGAGATGTTCAATTTTGTTGAAGAAAATCTTACTTTCACAGCTAGTTGGAGTGAGTTAATTTATGTCAATTGATGCTAGGCTAAAAATCCATGTTTTGCATGTAATTTGCCTTGAATTATACCTCAATCTTGTTAACTTTGGTGTAAATATTTGTGACTCGATCTTAATAATGATGTTTATATGTGTAGGAGTCATTTTGAAGTGATTTGGCAAGCTTGCATGCAAAGTGAAGTAAAAACAGATGAATTTGGAGTGAGTATGATTTTGGTGTCTAGGTTGGCGTCAGGCACTAACCAAAATGCCAATGACAGAATAGTACAGAAGTGAAAAACTTTGGTGTCAAGGTTGGCACCAGGCGCCAAGCGAGATGGCTAAGGGCAGATTTCGTCCTAATTTGGCTAGGACTTGGTAGTTTCGACCTTACACGCCCCCAACATGTATAAAAGGGGTTGTAAGCCTATTTCGTAGGGGGGAGACATTATTGGAGAGGCAAGAAGGCTACGGGAACACTTGGAAGCAAGGAATCACAAGAGTTTTCTCTTATGTTCTTCCTTAATCTGTATTTAATGCTTTTAATTATTTTCATGATTGTTAGTATGGTTATGAGTAGCTAAACATTTGATAACAACTAGGTCGGGAATCTAAATTAGAGTAAGAATTTGAGAAGTAAATGCGTAAGCAATAACAACAAGGAATTGAACAAGTAGAATTAAAGAGATGAAAAATAAAAGGATATGGAAAAAATTCAAGGAAAGAATTCCAAGAACTTCCAAGAACGCAAGTTCTATAGCCTTGACATGATCAAAGTAACAACGTCTTGATTTATGGAAGAAATCAAACGCCTTTACTTAAAAAGAAAATCAAAACAATAGATTCGGATCTTGACCGCTTTACGAGTAACTTGAGACAACAATTAATAACTAGTATTAATCGGCTTCTAAGAATACCACAATGGAATCAAAGATATCATAAAAGAGAAGTAATCTTACTACCTTGAACTATGAACTAGTAAAGGTTGAAAGATAAATCTCAAAGCACAAGTAACAAAGGTTCAAAAGAATTCTCAAAGTATGATATACTTAATCAATAATCTAGTCTCTTATGAATGAGAAGAACTCCTTATTAATAGGAGTGAAAACCCCTTAAAATAATGTAGGGGGTTGCTAAAAAGTCATCTAAATTAGGTAGGGGTTGCTAAGGGGTCACAATAGCCATCAAACTTAGGTAGGGGGCTCTTAAGGGGTAACAAAAGCCATCAAAATTTGGTGAGAGGCGGCCAAGACCCTTTGGGGCAGATTTGGGCCTTAAAACAACTAGTTTGGGCCATTGGTTTGGACTCCAATTGGGATCCTTTTGAAACACCCCCTTTTGGACCTCTTTTAAACTTATTTTGAGCCCTTTTTGGTGGACTTCAAGGGCTGATTTGGTGACCCAATTTTCCTCCTCTTGGACTTTAATTTGGACCACCATATAATTGTAAAACTTGGTCAATATCACATCCTTTATCCTTGAGCTCTTCCTTCCAATTAATAACTTTTTTATTTGCACTTGAAGTCTAATGACCTTGTTTTGTAATTCTTTAGCTTGACATCTTGTTAAAGGCCATCTTTGAGATTCGAAAGCTTCATCCTTGTCCTTGAATAGAGTTGAGCTTTCTAGGATGCTATCATTCCCCTCTTCTTGAAGAAAATTCGTCCTCGAATTTCGATATTGCAAGAAAAAGAAAACATGTACTAGTAAATGGTATCCACTAATCTGAAAAAATAGTAGGAATAAAACAAGATAGTGACAATGTATCCATTTAACCCAATCAATCCTAATAGGTGTAAATACTCCTTTATAAAGCATATGGACATCATCATCCCAATAAAATTTATGTCTACCTAGATTAATACAATAAAAACCTCTCTTAGATGCACCATGCAATGGAACTTGCAATTCGATCTTGCCGGTACGACAGTCCATAAGTATACATGACAAAGAAATTATAAAAGAGTGACTACACATCCATTTAATATAAGTACCTCTACCACATGTATCAAACAAGATACATTCATGATATAGACTACTATCTGCAATTACAAATCTCATGGATTCCTCTACATGAAATAGTATTTGATCATCAGTGTTACAACAATCATGCATATCCTCTTTACTAGAAACAAATATTTTTACAAGCTTACAATGAACATGACTTGAAGAATGACTCCCCATCACACAACAAAGATCACATGCTAGCACTTTAGCACATGAAAACTTATTAGCCACTTGAATAAGATAAGAAGAAATATTTAACTCATTCGCAAGCCTCTTCTCATAAATTTCATGCCTATTTCCACCAAGTTGGAGTAAGTAATCATCTATGTCATACACAATTTCAAAAGGAAGCGAATTACTCTTGCACTTTAACTTAGATATTATAGTTAATGACTTGATGTGCATCAAAATATCATCATATACAAAAATTATAAAGTCACCAACATAAGAAATAAGAGTGTAATTCATTATCTCCAAAAATACTTTAGGTGTTCTAGAAAGACCAAGAATGCAAATAAACCAATTATACATACCATACTTGGACTTATTTACCAATGGAACATCATCACCTTGTATTCTTTTATGCATTGGCTCCACCTTAGCAATGCTTTTAGGCAACTCCATGTCATAACCCTGTAAATAAGAATCGAAATAGTCAAAAGGTTTAATAACAAAGAATTTAATCAAGCTTTTGTCTTCCACCATCCAACAAGAATTGATATTGCCGAATTTATGTTGGAATCCAATTGGATCTTTTGCCACCATCTCTTGCGCCTCACCACCCCTTTCAAAAGGTATTTCATCACGTGGCTACACAAAATCACAAGAACTAAAACGAGAAAGAGTTAATGGGTTAGGAAGTAAAGAAACTTTTTTCTTGCTTACACTCTCTTTGGCTTTTATCGCAAGACTAATGTTTTCCTCACCCTTAGCCTCATTTCTCTCACTAGAGAGTTCTTTTCCTTCACTCAATCTCTCTTTTTTTCTCTCTCTACCTCACAGACTTTGTTTCTCTTATTGCTTTCTCTCTTTTCTTTTTTCTCAAGATCATTGTTTACCTCACTTGACATCCCACTCTTTTTACTCAATTCAACCTCTCCTTTTTCCTTTCTTGGAATGTCAACATGCACTCCCTTACTCCTCTCATTCGTTTCTCTCTCATATTTTTTCATATTCTCTTTAACAATCTTTTCATCTTCACAAATTTGTGAGGGAGTCAAAGGCCCAAGACTGAGTTTCTTCCCATTAGCCTCAAAAAAGTATCTATTTTTTTGATACTATATGAAGCACTTCTATAGATATATCATGGCCTTCCCAACAAGATATGAAAACAATTCATGAGAATGACATCACACCAAATCCTCATACCTTCCAATAGAGAATGGTAATAACACTCTTTTATCTACCTTTACTCCTTTCAACATGTAGGGATCAATATGTTCAACACAAGGCAAGTTCAATTTCTCAACCATATAAGTGCTAATTAAGTTATAGTCAAATGCTTTGTCAATTCTAAGGGTATAAATTGTAGACATCACTTTAGCTCTTGTTTGAAAAATTACTTTATCATTGTCTTCTTTCCATTCGATATATTGTAATATCGACCTTTCAAGTTGTTGAGTCATAGATATACTCCTTCCACTGCAGCTGCCTATTTGAGACATCTTGACATAGATTAAAGGAAATATGTATCTCTCTAATTTGGCTTCTTTGTTTTTTTTTCTCAATTGTTCTCTCACAGACTTTACCCTTTTTTTCTCTCGAAATAACCTTTGAATAAAATACTTTGTAGATTTATAGTTAAACCCAACTCGTATGAAGTTCTTAGTAGTAAAATTCATAATTTTGGGGAGCTAATAAAAGAAAAACCAAATCTTATAACTATTAGGCTCGGTTGAAACAAGACGCGAAAAAAAAGGAAATGATTATATATTTAGATTAGAAAGAGTAAGAAAATTCTAGGATCCCCTCATCTTGTTTCCTTTGTTAATTTTTGGAAACAAATTAGATACAAAAGAAATATCCCGGAGAGCACGCAATTCTATTTTTTTGTTCTAAAAACTGATTCTCATTTTTTTTTAAATTCGCCTTTTTTTCTTTACCGGTAGTACTCAACAAATCCCAAGTATTATCAAGAACGAAATCTTGATAGAACCGCTCTGATACCACTTGATAGCAACTAAGTTGAGAATCCAAACTAGAGTAAGAATTTGAGAAGTAAATGCGGAAGCAATAACAATAAAGAATTGAACAGCTAGAATTAAAGAGATGAAAATAAAGGATATGGAAAAATTCAAGGAAAGAATTCCAATAACTTCCAAGAACGCAAGTTGTATAGCCTTGACAAGATCAAAGTAACAACGTCTTGATTTATGGAAGAGATCAAACGCCTTTATTTAAAAGTAAATCAAAACAACAGATTCGGATCTTGACCGCTTTATGAGTAACTTGAGATAACAATTAATAACTAGTATTAATCACCTTCTAAGAATACCACAAATGAATCAAAGATATCACAAAAGAGAAATAATTTTACTACCTTGAACTATGAACTAGTAAAGGTTGAAAGATAAATCTCAAAGCACAAGTAACAAAGGTTCAAAAGAACTCTCAAAGTATGATATACTTAATCAATANTAATCTTACTACCTTGAACTATGAACTAGTAAAGGTTGAAAGATAAATCTCAAAGCACAAGTAACAAAGGTTCAAAAGAACTCTC